CCAGGAACTGGAGGTTGCAGCAAGCTATGATCACATCACTGCACTCCAGCCTGGGCGACAGAGCGACACTCTGTTTCAAAAAAAAAAAAAAGTATTTTGTTGTCAGCCAGGGTTGTATATGCCTCTAGTCCCAGCTACTTGGGAGACTGAGGCAGGAGGGTCACCTGAGTCCAGGAGTTCAAGTTCAGCCTGGACAAAATAGCAAGACCCCATCTCTAACATCAAGCAAACAAATCTTTTGTTCATTTGTATCTATATATGTGTGTTCTGGGTCACAGTATAAAATGTACTTTTTTTTTTTATCATAGCCAAAAATGTTTGTAAGTCAATGCTTTGCCACCTTATGGAGTAAACTTTACCTTAGAGGCAATGGTAAACCACTGAAAAGTTTCAGGCTAGAAAACGATATAATCAGATTTGTATGTTTAAGTGAGAGAGAGAGAGAGAGAGAGAAAGAGAGAGAGAGCATATGTGTATGTGTGTGTGTGGTATGTTTTATTTATTTTTATGTTTGTGTTCTGGAAAGATTACTCATGTAGCAAAGTTGACAATGGGGTAGAGGGGGATAAGACTGGAGCCAGGAATCCATATAATCGGCTACTGTTTAATTGAGGCAAGGGAAGATGATAATATGGTCTTAGAAGTGGCTACAGGAATGGAGGGTTGAATCGACAGGATTTGGTAACTGATCAGCTGTGGCAATGGTGAGAGAGAAAGCATCGAGGCTTGTGTTGGCCTTGGTCAGATGGTGATGCTATTCACTAAGGCAGCAAATACAGAATAGAGCAAATCTAGGGAGGGAGAAGTTAAGTTCATTTCTGAAGATGTCTCCACTGATCTGACTTCAAGACATGAAAGTGAAGACAATGGTTAGCAAATACTTGGATATGTAGCCCTAGATCCAAGAGGAGAGGTCCAGGCCAAAAAGTTAATTGAGGACTGATCACCACAGTGATCAATGAAGCTATGGCAGTAAATAAGATGGCTCCAGAAAGATCCTGTAAAGATGAAAAGATCTAAAGGATGAGCAGAGAAAAATACGTCTGGCAGAGAAGACCGAGAAGGTGTTCCCAGAGGACAGGAGGAAAACTGGAGAATACGGCGTCTCAGAAGCAATGAGAAAAAGTGTTTTAAAATGTAATGAGTGACTCAACAATAAGAAAACAAACAACCTGAATTTTAAAATGACCAAAAGACCTGAAGAGACACCTCAACAAAGATATAGAGATGGCAATAAGCATAAGAAAAGATGCTCATCCTCATACATCATTAGAGAATTATAAATGAAAATAACAATGAAACGCCACTATATACCTATTAGAGTGGCCAAAATCCAAAATGCTGACACCACCAAATGCTGACAAGGATGTGGTGCAGCAGAAGCTCTCTCACTGCTGGCAGGAACGCAAAATAGCATAGCCACTTTGGAAGACAGTTTGGCAGTTTCCTATAAAACTATCCATGTTCTTACCATATGATCTAGGAACTGTGCTCCTTAGTATTTACCCAAATGAGTTAAAAATTTCTGTCCACACAAAAACCTGCACAAGGATGTTACAGTAGCTTTATTCATAACTGTCAAAATTTGAAAGCAACCAAGATGTCATCAGCAGGTGAAAGGATAAAGGGTGGTACACCCAGGCAATGAAATATTATTCAGTGCTAAAAAGAAACCGGCTCTCAAGTCATGAAGAGACATGGAGGAACCTTATTGCATATTACTATTTGAAAAACACCAATCTGAAAAGGCTACATGCTGTATGTTTCCAACCATATGACATTCTGGAAAAGGAAAAACTTGTGGAGACAGTGAAAGGATCAGTGGTTGCAGGGGGTCAGGGAGAAATGGATAAACAGGCAGAGCACAGAGGATTTGGGGGGAAGTGAAACAATTTTATATGATATTATAGTGGTGAAAACATGTCACTATACATTTGTCAAAACCCACAGAATGTATAACACTGAGAGAAAACCCTAATGTAAGCTATGGACTTTGGGTGATAATGTGTCCATGCATGTTCATTGATTGTTAACAAATGTACCACTCTGGTGGGGCACATCTGATAATGACAGGGGCCGGCAGGGGAGGTAGGCAGGACAGCACAGAGGGTACATGGAAACTGTGTACCTTCCACTCAATATTGCTGTGAATGTAAAAGTGCTCTAAAATATAACTAAAGAGGCAGGGTGCAGTAGCTCACACCAGTAGTCCCAGCACTTTGGGAGATTAAGGCAGGCAGATCACCTGACCTCAGGAGTTTGAGACCAGCCTGGACAACATGGCAAAA